TATATATATATGTATATATATATATATACATATATATATATATACATATATATATATATACATATATATATATATATATATATGTATGTGTATATATATATATATATATATATATACATACATACATATATATATATATACACACATATATATATATAAAATGTCCTGAATTTATTTTTACAATGGCATACAGATAGTATATAATATCAGCATCTGTGATTAGATGGAAAATGGGGAATAGATATAGATCTGCTATTGTGATGTTTTTCACATGAAGGATTTAACACCATGGAGGCTGCCCGCATCTTCCTTAAGCTGATGGAAAGACTTGGGTTCAGTGAGTTTTACGTGCAGGGAGGAGACTGGGGTGCCTTTATTACCAGCAACATGGCCCAGATGAAACCAGAGTAAGAAATACAAACACATTTAGTATCCTGATAACTACATTTTTGGATTATTCTGTCTACAGATAATGTATCCTTTTTTTCCTGTACCTAAAAAATAAAAAAGGTATCTGTATTCTCTTTTAAATAAGTTGTGTTCGTGGCCTGCACTTGAACATGGTCATTGCCAGGACAGACAGCACTGCACAGCTCCTCTCCTTGGTCATCGGTCGCTACTTGCCATTCTTGGTGGGCTTCACAAAGGAGGATGTCAGACGACTTTATCCATACATGGAGAAGAATATATATGACATTCTGAGAGAAACCGGCTATTTACACATTCAAGCCACTAAACCAGACACAGCAGGTAGTGCTTGGCATCTTTTGTGTGGGTCATGGCAGAATATTAACACTTATTTATTAAATATTGTATTCTGTTCATTTTGTCACCCTTGCAGGATGTGGACTGAATGACTCTCCAGTCGGATTGGCTGCCTATATCTTGGAGAAGTTCTCCACCTGGACAAACTTGGAAAATAGAGACCTAGAGGATGGAGGTTTAGAGAGGTGAACATGGATTAATTACATACAAGGTGCAATTATTTTTGCTGATTACTGTATTTTTTTCAGCTATTGCCTAATGGTTAGAGTTGAACTTGTGATTCAAAGGTCACAGGTTCGAATCCTAGCTCTGGCAGAGGTGGTATGTTGGGTACTGAATAACTACGACTCTATTTTGTAGGATTTTCAAAATTAGATTGTAACAATTAAAAGAAAACCATTTATTTGATATACAATAAAAGAAATATGATGTTTAATAGATAATACATTTTATCATTTTCTTTTCGCTTTAGTCTCTTTATTAATCAGGGCAAAATGAACTGCCAACTTATCCAGCATATGTTTTATGCTGCAAATGCCCTTCTAGCTGCAATCCATCTCTGAAAAATAGATAATACAATAGAATTACATTATATAAATAACAGTGTCTTTAGTCACTTTTATCAATTTAATGCATCCTTGCTAAATAAAACAATTAGTTTTAAGAAACAACAGCTTACCAACATTAGAATGTTATGTTTTACATTGGACATCAATCCGTTACTGAACGTGAATGCTTAATCTTGGTTTTAGTTCAGTGTTTTTATTGTTTGTTTTTCACATATCGTTTCATTGTAGAAAGTTCAACCTTGATGACCTGCTTACAAACGTCATGATCTACTGGACCACGTGCTCTATCATTCCCTCAATGCGCTTCTACAAAGAGAACCTGAAGAAAGACTTCAAGACAAGGGTGGACAGAGTGTAAGTGACCGGAAGGGATTGTTTATTAATTAGACACTTGATCTTATAAGGTTAGTTTAATCAAAAATGAATATTATGTTTTAAATTACTCACCCTCAAGTCGGTCTAATCCATTAAAACTTTTTTAGACCAAAAATTGGGATATTTTAGATGAAATCTATGCTCTCCCTGACCTTCCATATGCAGCAATGGTCTTGAGATGTTTAAAGTCCAGAACATAAATGACATAAACATTGTTAAAACATTCCACGTGACTCCAGTGGTTGAAATGTAATCATACAATATTCCAAGAAAACAATGATATGCCAAATTTGTTAACTACAGTCATCAATGTGTATTTATGCAGATTGATTAATGCTGCAGTGTCTTTATACTGAATTCTGAGCAGACACAGATCTGCTTTAGTGCCACCATAAATCAGCTGTCTAGAGATTACTCAAATGGTGTGTTCCAAACAAGACATTTTGCCCTCCGAAGGGCACCTTGGAGTAAAAAATCATGGCCGCCATATTGAAGTGTCATTTCAAACCAAACTGAATAAAACTGGCCGCTTTAGTTAAAGGGCCCTTGGAAATGAGGAATTTTGAAAAATACAACTGATGGACTCTTCAGTAAATTATCCTTTGAGCAGGGAAGCTGTTGTCACACACTGCACCCAATTTAGAAGGGCTCATCCCTATGCCCTATTCACTTCAGAGGGACCCTTCGAATAGATAGGAATAGATAAGGGATAGGAATGAGCCCTTCAGATTGAAATCCAACCTTTATATTATCTTCTGCGACAGGTCAGAGTGCATGTTTACGGGTGACATTACCATTAGATTTAGCAGTACAACACGCAAGCATTGCTCTTAGAAACGTAAACCTTTATAGACAGCCATGGTCCTGATATATTATAAGTCCAGAAAATTAACCAAAAACATGTCTTCGCAAAACATAAGAAGCTCCTAGAACACTTTTGTGCTTGCAGATTTCATCGAAAATATTTTTGTTTATGTTCCAATGATGAATGAAGGTCTCAGGGGTTTGGAACAACATGAGTGAATTATTAATAAGGGAATCTTTGTTTCTGGGTAAACTAGTCCTTTAATACTGATCTGATTTTTCAACGTAAAAAACATATTGCAGGATTCCCACACTTCTTGAAAGTACTTTAGAATTTCAGACATTGCTTCTTGAAAGTGCTTGACTTAACTTTGAAATGAAATTGTGCTGGTCAAAAATAGAACTAAAAATGATAAATTCTTCACTTATAAATAAATCTGACAAATTTTTACAAAATTAATTTGAACATTTAACATTTCAAAACAGTTAACATTTCAAAACATTATCAATATTTTTACTTTTTAATGTTAATATTAGGCGTAAGTGAAATGTTAAGTACAATAAGGACTTTCATGGCTCTACATATGCTGAGAGAAAAAAAATGATTTATTTGAAAATAATGGTGCTTTTAAAAAGCCCTTGAATGAGAAAAGTCCTTGAGTGGGAACCTTGCAATTGTTTTTGGCTATTTCAGAAATAACAATAATTGTTTTTCCTCTTTCCCTTTAAGGACAAGTATCCATGTGCCGACTGGCCTGGCTGCCTTTCCTGATGAGCTACTCCACTGTCCTCGAGCCTGGGCCAGCTCACGCTTTTCAGATGTGCGTTCCTTCACCTACATGCCCCGAGGAGGACACTTTGCTGCCTTTGAGGAACCCCAACTCCTGGCTCAAGACATCATCCAGTTTGCTGAGAAAGTGGAGGGCAAAAGCCACAAGTAACAGCTTTATTTTAGCATCATAAGAAAACTAATGCACTGCTCTGTTCAAATATGGAAGTATTAGTAAACAGTTTAACTACAATGTTTTTCAATGAACCAAATGAAGTTAAAGAATTTCTGAAGTTTTGTTATTATTTTGCATGATGCTTTGTAAGTAAAACATGTTATGCTGTTCTGTTCCACTGAGTAACCATTTCTGAAGCTTCAAAATCTAACATATACCTGCTCAAGACAAGTTCAGTTTCAACATGCATTACAATATACATGCTACAATCACCAGTTTGAATCATTTCAAAGATTTAATGAACCCAGACCTCAATGTCCTTTTGTGAGTGGCAATAAAACAATGATTACAATGATATAGCACCACATGGAAAGTGTTCAATTGCATTATTTTGCATATACTGACAGAAATAAAGAACCTACAACGTAATTTGTCCATTTTAAGTAAATTCCAAGTATGTACATTCATCAGTTAGCAGAAACTGCCATTAAGCAGATGGGTGTAATTCATCGCGATTAAAAAAAAAAGAAAGAAAGTACAATTGGTTTTGGAGTGAGTAGCAGCCCAGGCTATTAAACATTACAAAACCACCGCTGTGTTCTGTAAAATGTAAAAAATATATGGATTAGCTGATGACAATGTAAACATAAGATAAATAAAATGAGGTTTTAAAATGTTAAAATTCACACAGAAATCCTGAATGAAGCATAAGAAAAAAAATACAATAGCCCGTTTACTTTTTTGGCCAGTCATCTGGTGATCCCTGAGAATGGAGTGAACTGTATTCCAACATTCCCTGAAATCTGTTATTCTTTATTCTCTCATCATTTACAGAAGCCTTTAACAGTGACGGGGGCCTGAAACCATATATAATCCTCCAGGTCTGTTTTTGGCAGCTCCCCGGCGAGAGACAAATCACTGCCTATAGAGATGACTTGCCTTTTCACTTTTGTGGGAACTTTAAAATCCACTCTGGGTTTAAACCCGGTCACGCCACAATCCCGGTGACCCAGAGCCAAGACTGTGGTGCTCATAAGACGCACAGACTTGGCATCCGATAACAGGTCAGCCACAAACAGCGTGCGGAAAATCTGTCTTAGACAGGTTGAGGTCCTTAAGCTGTTTTCCCCGGCCCCGACGGCCACCGATTCCATGTTGACCTCATACAGCTCTGTAGGAAGAACAGTGGATCCACCCAGCATGAAAAGCACGCGGGGAACTCGACTGAGAGAGAACAGTGCCTCAAGGTGGGCCAACACATCATCCAGTTCCTGCAACATCTTCTGGCATCGACGCCAATCCAAACCCCCTGACGCCTTTGCAGACCGCTGCTTTATAATGTCCTGTGCATGAGAGAAAGAAGTCCGTTAAAGTGAATTATGTCTTTCATTCTCAGCGACACTGCATTTATCGGATCAAAAATGTAGTTAAAGTAGAAATACTGTGAAACATTAAAGATAAATGAGCATTTTTTCACTGATCCCCTCTGAAGGCTGTTTTTGTTTTCTCTCCATATAATCCTGTTTAGACGGTAGGACTATTAGATTCTTGGCCATCTTTGTCTAAATGCTATTATGTTATGGCTAGATTGGTGGTGATTTAACAAATAAAGGGTCTCTTTGTGCATTAAGATCAGAGATGCTCAAACTAGGGCCCACAGGCCAAAGTTGGCTCATGATAACCTTGATTTGGCCCACCATTCCACCCTGAGAAGGAAGGCAGAATGTTGGGGGTAATGCTTTTAATACACATTCATTCATTCATTTTCTTTTTAGCTAAATTCCTTTATTAATCTGGGGTCGCCACAGAGGAATGAACCGCCAACCTATCCAGCTTGTGTTTTACGCAGCGGATGCCCTTCCAGTTGCAACCCATCTCTGGGAAACACCCATACAAACTCGTTCACACACATACACTATGGACAATTAAGCCAACCCAAGTCACCAGTACCGCATGTCTTTGGACTGTGGGGGAAACCGGAGCACCTGGAGGAAACCCACGCGAACGTGGGGAGAACATGCAAACTCCAGACAGAAATGCCAACTGACCCAACCGAGGCTCGAACCAGCGGCCTTCTTGCTGTGAGGAGACAGCACTACCTACTGCGCCACAGCGTTGGCCCCTTTAATACACATTGTCGTTTCTAATTTTAATGTAACTTTCTATTTGTTTGATTTATTGTTTAGCTACAAATTCTCAATTAAATGCTGTGTATGAATTAGATTTTTATAATGAACATACTGTTGCTTAAGGAAGAGAGCGCAATTCAGAAGTCATCTGCAAGGAAACCAAGGAATATGAAAGTGTAGCTTGACATTAAACTCCATTGGGTTATAAACTGAATTATTATGTTTTAATTATAATAGGTTCATTATAAAATGTAAAACAATATATATAATGCATTAGTTAATATGATTAAAGTAATGTTTTCTATTTATTTTGAAATAAATGATAAAATTATCCATGGCAACTTTGTAATACAATTTGGTTGATATATTTACCTTTGGCTACCGTTCCTTAATCAAGTTTGGTTTTTGGCCCTTCATAAGAAAAAGTCTGGCCACCTCTGACTCTGATGGAGATTCTGTGCTCTAGCTAAAAGGCCTGCTTTTCTGTCATTTACTAAATTGTGGGACTCATCCTGTCTCATTGATGAGGGCGATAAAGCTCAGAAGGACAAAATAAGATTCAGAGTTAAAGGAATATCCTGAAAATGTATAACATTCAAACAGGGTTATAGTAGTTTTTTGGGGCATTTTTGCTTTTTTTAATTGATGGGATTGTTTTTTTTTTTTTTTTTTTGTCAGTAGACAGAAAGTAGAGTTGTTGGGGGGATTGCACTATTGCAAACTAACCACTGGGCTATTACGCCTACAGGATACAGTAGTTGACCCAAAAAATAAAACTTTACTCACCCTCAAGTTGTTCCAAGCCTTTTAAAAAACCTTTTGTCTAAAAGGAAATATAAAAAAAGCTGAAAGCAGTAACTATTGACTTCCATAGTATGAAAAACAAATACTATAGAAGACAATGGTTTCCAGCCTTTTTTCTAAATATCTTATTTTGTGTTCAACAGAAAAATAATTTCAAACAGGTTTGGAACAAGTAAAGGGTAAGTGATTAAAATTAAAGCACATGATGACAATTAACATTTTTGTGTGAACTACGCCTTTAACAATACATTACTGTTATTTCTTTAAATACTTTTATAAAACTTTTGTTTTTTAAAATTAGGATTGAACAACATGAAACATAGATCAACCCTTCTGCAATACCTGAGAGGCATTATGCTGCTGTTTCTGAAGGAACACCATTTGGTCGTATGTCATGGGCATCTGTTGGCGCTGATAAAGGACACATTTCAGAAGCTCGCCAACAAATCGACAGCAACCATCCTGAGTGATGCATCCAGGGAAGATGACATTCACTCGTCCTTCCTCTCTCGCTCTTCTGAATATTTCTTCATCATCTACAGAGTGTGGAGGCACTCCATTTGATTCACAATCCTTATGACTGCCAGAAGCACTGGCCAAAGAATCAGTCTCCTGACAACCTTGAAATAAAACATTTCGGTGCCATTATTTAGTAAGTATATTGGTAATATTTTTAGTAACTTTCTGTATAATAAATATGTGAAAATAAATTATTATTGAGATAAAAAATAATATTGAGATTTTCAAAGCATATAAGGTTTAAGGAAAATTTGTGTCATTTACTTTTTATGAACATTTTTCGATTATCACATTTATACGCATTTAGTCAGTTCAAATGGACCCCCCCCCCCCCCTCTCTCTCTCTCTCAGCTCAGCATATTTGAGTACACCCCGTTTTAAAAATGTATATTTGTATCCATTTCTCAGTGAATATAGGCAATGTGTTCTGGTACATTTAAACAAAACAGATTTATATTTAAATAATATTTTAGTGTCCAAACATTGAGAGATTTAAGGTTAATTAACTTAAATTCAAGAAAAATACTGAAAAAAATTGCAACCTACAAAATTAACCAAATTTTTCCTTTTTATTTGCTTCTCTTGATTTTTCCTCTTTTTAAAATTTGTGTTTAATTTTTTTTATAAGATAAATTTAAGTGTTCTAGTTTTTGGACAGTTGTCAAAGTTATTTTGCTAGATAAGCTCCAGGTTTGGCTTCATTACTGACTAATCTAGTGTATATGCACAAATATAATATTGTATAGCTTCCTTTTAAAAATATAATTTAAAAGATAGATTTGTGAGGGGTGTACTTGTATATATTTCCCTTTTAACTGTACATTAGCATGTAAACTGTTTTTTTTTATGTATAATTTTGAGAAAAAAAACTAACCTAAACATTGTTTTACCATAATTTACAGAAGACAAATGTAATGTAATTGTAATGTGAAATGTAATTCTGTGTAACTACATATTTTAAAAGAGGATTATCTTCAGGTATATTTAGATTAATCTCATTTAATTGTTTAATTAATTAAAAGGCTAAGTGCAGCTCCAAAATATATATTAATTGTAATTTAATTAATTTATTTTTTATAACGAGTTACATTTTTTTACAAATCACTAAGCTTCACCCATGTAAAAAAAAAATCAATTAATATATTGTTTTTCTATGATCACTTTTTCGTTGTTTTGTCATATCTCTCTCACACACACAGGTCAGAATAAGTGGTTTATTGTAAGAGAAATACATCTGTTACACTGAATAACAAAACATTGTTTCACCTATATCTTGACATTCAGTTTTTTTCACTTTTGAGAATTTTTTTGATGCTAAATATGTCTCCCCACAGGTAAAACTTGAAGAATCTGTTGAGGACTTCTTAAGTTAAACTTCAAATAATCTTCTTTATTATGTGCCAGTACATATGACTTTTATTATTGGTTTGATTAGCTAGCACAAATGAGAGAAGCACAAACAGGAAATCAAGTAATTTGCCACTTACCTACATCATCACCTCTATGGTCTGTTCTTGTCTGTGTGGAGCTATTTCTGTTTTCTTGATCTTCTGATGGGTTCAAATGCTCCACACAAACACTATCTGATTCAGACTCTCCAATGTCGTCCTGCAGGCAAACATTTTCCACTTCAGACTCAGCGGAGGATTCTGGATCGTCGACATAGCACAAAATGTTCCTTTCCGTTTTTCCAGATGAAGCTCTTGATTCTTCTTCGTGAGATGTGCATTGATTGCTTTGAATAAGCTTGTTACTGCAGTTGTTGTTAGAGGTTTCGATGGTGTTGCTGTGTTTGATGACAGTCATGTTTTCACAATCAAACTGTCCCTTCTTGGATCCCTCTTCCATTTCTTCTGTTTGAATTTACCCACCAGGCACAGCATCATGGGAAACACGAAAACCGGAAACAAGAAAAAAATGCTATAAGAGTCCCTCTCTTCCATTTGATTTCATCACACTTTTTCAGCTTTTTTAAAATTTCTAAAACAAAATCGTTTAAAAGTTCGTGGTAAAGTATGGGGATTCATATTTATTTTTTTTCATATGTGTTAGAAACAACCAGACAAAAATTCGAGCAAAGCTCTCTGTCGCCCTCTAAAGGCTTTTTTATGTAGTCACTTCAAGACTCACATTTTTCCTAATGCAACTGTTATTGCTAGATAGTTTGATGATAATCTGATAACAAAGGAGGTATTTTTGCACTGTATTCAAAAAAAGTATAATATTCGTGCAATTGTATAGAATTTTATGTCTAAATAATATATATAAACTTTTTGATTATAGAAAAAATGATACAAATATTTGTGTTTTTTAAAATGGTGGTGATGCTGAAAATGACAAAATATTGATATGTCAACCAATAGCATATTTAAATGCACAGAATGACCTTTGTGGGATAATTGTATTTTAATTCAAAGTAAAACTATTTGGTGAACTGATGGTAAAGAGTACCGGCTGTGCCCTAATGAATATATTGCCTATTGTTTTAGTTACACTTTTGTATTTTTACAGTTAAAATGTTATAAAGTAAGTTCTCAGGAAATTGTATAAATATAGCAAAGCTGTATTTATGAGTTGATTTTACAACCAGTAAATCATTCACCAACATCATCAGCTGATCTAGATTCATCTTTTTACCCTATATAAAGTAACTTATAAATGGCTGAGTATGATTTCGTGCTGTTCTTCAAATATAGCAAGAACATTTTTACCATTTGACCAAGTGTTATATAGCTTTCAAAGGTTCTAGGCTACTTTAATTATACACGTTTTTTTTACTATTTAGACCAGGCCCAGATTGGCTATTCGGGAGTACCAGTGGGCGGTCGACAGAGCATGGATTTTTACCAGTCACCAAAATGATAACAAAGCAGAAATTCATTCATTTTTGGCTCAGTCCCTTTAATAATCTGGGGTCACCACAGCGGAATGAACCGCCAACTTATCCAGCATTTGTTTTACGCAGCGGATGCCCTTCCAGCTGCAACCTATCACTGGAAAACATCCATACGCACTTATTCACACACATACACTACGGAGAAGTTAGCCTACTCAATTCACCTGTACCACATGTCTCTGGACCGTGGGGGACACCGGAAGACCCAGAGGAAACCAGAGCAAACACGGGGAGAACATGCAAACTCCACACAGAAACGCCAACTGACCCAGCCAAGGCTCAAACCAGCGACCTTCTTTCTGTGAGGTAAACGTGCTACCCACGGCACCACCGTGTAGCCGCTAAACAGAAATTTGACACATAATTAATCATATTTATGAATACTGTTGTATCCATTTCTATTTTTTCTGCTAAAATATATTTGAAGTTTGCTAAATTTATTTTGTAACTGTGAAGCTAAAAATAAATGATTATTTAATATATATAAACTGAATTCTGTAGATGAATATATATTTAATTATGCTGTTCTTTATTGTTTAGGATTTCAGCAGTGATATTTATGTAAGATTGAACTGAACTAAACTGAATTTCAATCGTGACAACTGAACTGAAGCAGTTTCAATTTATAGAACTTCATCTATGTTAAGCTGCTTTGACACAATCTACATTGTAAAAGTGCTATAATAGCGGTATTCATTTACCAAAATATATTTTACTTCTGTAGAACTTAAAAGGGGGAGGCATGGTGCCTTACAGCAAGAAGGTCACTGGTTCAAGTTCTTGCTGGGTCAGTTGGCATTTCGTTTGAGTTTGCATGTTCTCCCCGTGTTGGCGTGGGTTTCCTCTGGGTGTTCCGGTTTCCCCCACAGTCCAAAACTTTGCGGTACAGGTGAATTGAATAAACTAAATTGGCCGTAGTGTATGATGTGAGATTGTATGAGTGTTTTCCAGTACTAGGTTGTGATTGGAAGGGCATCCACTGCGCAAAACATATGCCGGCATACTTGGCAGTTCATTTTGCTGTGGCGACCTCTGAGAAGTCATAGACTAAGCCGAAGAAAAATTTTATGGATGAACTCAAAAGAAGTTGTTTTGAAAATTGTTAGAAACCAACAATTAACTTCCGTAGAAACAAATAGGCTGCTAGAGAAGTCAATGGTTATTGTTTCCAAATTTTTTCAAAATAACATTTTGCTTTTAACAGAAAAAAAGAAACTCAAGAAGGTTTATAACAAGTGAAGGGCCAGTTAATGATGACATAATTTACAATTTTGGGTGAACTATCCCTTTAAAATAGCAAGAATATATTTTATGTACAACTTTTTAGCCATGTAAATATAGCTGATAGAGGCAGTCAAAAAAATAAATAAATAAATAATTTCCTATGGGTTTAGCAGGGCTTTTTAGTATTTTCCTAAAGTATGTTATTTACTTTACATCTATTAGACATTAATAAGACATTATTGTTCTTCTAAACTTACATATTATTATATGGTAAGGCACTAAGCCAAAAAGAAAATGAATGAATAACTATTATATGCTCTATATTATTATGTTATTCTTATAAAATAATAAGCCAATTAAAAACATATACATTTATTATAATTTTTTAATACAAAAAAAATCTACTTTGGCAACACGGTGGCTCAGTGGTTAGCACCGTGGCCTCACAGCAAGAAGGTTGCTGGTTCGAGTCCCAGCTGGGTCAGCTGGCATTTCTGTGTGGAGTTTGCATGTTCTCCCTGTGTTGGTGTGGGTTTCCTTCGGGTGCTCCAGTTTTTCCCACAGTCCAAAGACATGTGCTATAGGTGAATTGAATAAACTAAATTAGCCATAGGGTATTAGTGTGAATGTGAGTGTATAGGTGTTCCCCAGTACCGGGTTGGAGCTGGAAGGGCATCCTCTGTGTAAAACATAAGCTGGATAAGTTGGTGGTTTATTCCGCTGTGGCGACACCTGAAGAATAAAGCGACTAAGCCGAAGGAAAATAAATAAATGAATGAAAAATCTATACAATTTACAGTTTACTTATATAGATTATTAGTATAATGATTGGACAGACAGACAGAAAGACAGACAGATAGACAGACAGACAGACAGACAGACAGACAGACAGACAGACAGACAGACAGACAGACAGACAGATAGACAGG